CAAAAACTAAAGTTTTCAGCTTTTATCACACTGTAACTGGACAGATTTCTTAATGTATACTGTAACATAGGTGAGTTCTGAACGTAAAATAGTGAAAGTCAATGTTTTACAGGTTCTCGTAATGCTTAACACAGTTCTGCTTGTTTTGAGTAGTTTCACTGGATCTTCGGTCTTGACACAAAGGAAATATCGTGCTTTGTAATTTTCCAAGCACTTAGACTTCAGAAGGTTAATTATTCCAGGAAATTACATTCAGAATTTCCAGACACACTAGAAAACTTCTTATCAAAGTTACTCTAACTGTATAGTCTATGATTCAAAAGTAACATAAGTTAACATAACTCAAACTGACTGGAAGATTGCATTGAATCATCAGCCGAGTACCTTCTTTCACTGCTAACGATATTCTAAGCCTGACGTAATGTCATTTTGGGCAGAATTTATTATTCACAGTATCTTGACAAGTACAATAAGTTCTAATAACTATTTTATTTATGTTAACAAGGTTTTGAAAATAATTCTAAAATTTCACTACAAAAGTTACAACCATAGCATTAAAATTGTAATGATTCACTACTTTTTTTAAATTTATGCTATTCTGATGAATCATCCAATATTGTGATATCTACGCCTTTTGTGTTACTTCTTTTGAGTTGTCTTATTATGAAAATACTGGTCTTTACAGATGTAAGTGTTCATTTCACTTGTTCTATGCGTAATAAGGATTTGTGGTACCTTTCGTATTGATTCGAAAACACGTTCGTCTTCACGTAACCCCAATCTCGATCAAACAGCCCACGATAAATACTCATATTTTCCTTAATGTTTTTCTTTCCACGTTTGTTTTATTTAAGTAATAAAACTAATACAAAAATATACCAATCCTTAGTTTTATATTTAAATACTGATCTTTAAACTGCTAATTAGAGTCTAATACGCACAAGAATGGTGTCGCTACTTGAGATTCTTTCGTTGGTTGTAAGCCCTAAAAACGGTATAGTTTCAAGTACCGGTTTATTCAATAATAAAACTTTTCATATTATGTCTAGCGTACATCCGGCCTGTCGTGTTTCTGTGGGTCTGTACGCAAGTACACGTATCAAATAATGACGTTATCTTGTAACAGATACTGCCCGCTCGTAAAAACAACACAGGAAAAAGGAAATGAAAATAAATAAAAACTTATTTGACTGCAGCCTTTGTGTAAGCATTCTGTTTTCGCCAACACCCCACCTTCAACTCATTTTCCCAACACAACGTTCATCATTCCCATTGACCCCCCTCCCCCACGCCTGTTACAGCTACAATTTAGCCATCAAGTACAGTAACAGCGCGCGTGCTCAAACCAAGGTCACTGTTACGAGACTCCACTCTAGTGTTTCCTTCCTAGGCTTGAATAGCAATGACGTCACCACATTTAGACGAGATCCATGCAGTGCTTGGTTCAACCGTTTTACTTTTGACACTCGGAACATCGGGTTTGTAGCCCGTAGCTTTACACGTGACTTGATTTGTCATTTGGTGTATATTATGTTTTCCATATATATATATAAAACCAAGGCAAGTTATAGTTTTATTACTGCTAACATTAGAACAAAGAGAGTAACGTTAATTACATGATAATAAATTAAATATTTAAAAAAGTAAAGATCTGTTCAGTTGATAATTAATGTGTACCTTATAATATCAAACATCATATTAATATTAGTCTATTAATTTATGGACTTTTGGTAGTAGTAGTAATTATTACCGATTTTAATATGTGTGCTTTTATTGGAAGACTGTGTGACTGTATGAGACATCATCTCTATATTATCTTTTGATGCTGTTCACTTGCAACATTTGATAAAGTAACATCAAAGAAGCTGGCAAGTCGACATAACAAAAACATTTATTACACCAACAATTGAACAAACTAATGTGGATTTGACGACTAACCTGTGGTAGGCAGCCAGTGGATAATAAATAGGTTTCTTAACTTCTGAAAAGCAGCTTCATAGTCCGTAGCCCTATCCAACATTGCATCACCCCAGATTTCTTCATCAAACAAGAGGGAAACTTTAGCATAAATTAACGATTATAAGAGGCAAACACCCTTGAAACTGGACACCTTGTTTGTGGTAGAATGTGACCATTACTGCAACTTTCTTAGAATCAGAACTCATCCCCTTACGGCTCCCTACACGTCCACAATAGCCACTCGGGTCTTCGTTAAGGTTCGCTTGAGTGGTTTCAGCTTCAAGTCAGATTCAAGTAGGCACTGTAAAGCTTGTCACTTGTACTCTAGAGTCGCTTGTCTAAAGTTCAGACAACTCCTCGACTGTTGGTTCCTTGCAATCAGTTCTTTCAAGCACTTGAATCTGTTAGGTACATATCACAGACTGAAGGGTTTCCCCTTGACAACACGCAGTCCAAAGCTGGGATTAAAAGCTGTTCATTTGATAACAGATTGTGAATAATCCAAAATGCAAAACTGTATGCGTTCCAGTGACACATCTTTATAAGAAATAAAAATGTCACAATTTAAGTTAATAAAATTTGCTTTTCTACATTTCGCGCAGAGCAATAATGTCTACAGTTGATGACCTAGCATTCTTAGTCTACCTGTTCTCTTACATTCTCTTTTAATCTGTTTATTAATCTGGTTAATTATGCTACCAGATCTCTAGACTCGTCTTTGTGTCTCGCAGTGTACTCCGACTATATCTTCGGA